TTATTGTGCTATGCCAACGGGGTGCCGAGCCGTTCGTTCGCGACCTATGTAAAGCCCCGCTTTCGTAGCCGACGCTGCCGTCCCTGAGCCCGCGCGCTATACGCGCTCGGATTGATCAGTGTTTTTGCTTAATAATTCAAAAAGGAAGCTTCAAACCACTTTTTCGCAAGGAAAAGTTGTTCAGAATCACCCCAGCTACCACCCCTTCAGAGGCTGAAAATGCGTTACGGGACACCCTGTATACATTTCTTGTAATATAATGTTCAAAAAGTACCGGGAATTTGTCAATAAAACGAAAACGGTACAATTATTCATCGATATTTATTTTATTCCCTTCAAAGTAATCTCCATCGCAAGCAATACACATATTCCAACGCTTCTTCCAATCCTCGAAACACTTTTCATAGGCCGATTTTGGAATCGCCTTCAGTTCCCTCTGCGAATTCTCCTTTATCGCCTCAACCGTCTGAAAACGCTTTCCGCGAAGTGGTAACTTGAGTCGTGGGAATAGGAAAAAGTCACACGGAGCCATGTCAGGTGAATACGGAACTTGCGGAATGATATTAATGTTGTTTTTAGTCAAATAGTCGCGTACAAGATGGGATGTGTGAGCCGGTGCATTGTCGTGGTGAAGAAATCACGAGTTGTTTCTCCACAATTCCGGCCTTTTGCGACGAACATTCTCCCTCAAACGCTTCAGTACGCTCACATAATACTCCTTATTTACTGTTAGGCCTGGTGGAAGGAATTCGGAGTGGACCACACCACGGCAATCAAAGAAAACGGTCAACAAAACCTTGATTTTGGATCGACTTTGTCGTGGTTTTTTGGGTTTTGGCTCGTCTGAAAAGCGCCATTCCGATGATTGTTGGTTCGTTTCGATGTCATATTCATAGATCCATATCTCATCACCGGTAATTATGCCTTCGATAACATTTTGGCCCAAAGAAAGCATTTCCTTAGCGACAGCAACACGATGCTCTCTCGGCACAAGCCGCGCTTCAACCCTTCTCATGCTCAAAACATCGTGCATAACGCTCTGTACCGATCCTAACGAGACACCAATATCGGCTGCTATCTCCCGGATGCTCACACGACGATTTTCGAGCACAATTCTCTTAACTTTTTCAATGTTTTCGTCAGTCACAGCGGTAGATGGACGACCGGAACGAGGCAAATCATCAACCACAGTACGGCCCTCTTTTAACTTTTTGTACCACTCGTATGCTCGTGTTTTCGATATTGTCGAATCTCCGAAGGCTACCGTTAACATTTTCAACGCTTCCGCAGATGATATTTTGTTAGAAACACAAAATTTCAGACAGACTCTTTGCTCAACTAAATTCGACATAGCGAAATTCGCAGAGTAGACCAAACAATGACTTCTTTATAAGGCTATTACGTACAAACTATCTAACAGATTTCGGTTAACAATGACATATAAACAACTGACGGATGTACCGACTTAGAAAACAAATGATTTTGCCAATATCTCAAGTGCGGTTCGTTTAAATGAAAAATTCCCGGTACTTTTTGAACATAAGGTAACATAACCAAGGGAAGAAGATTCCTACAAATCGAATGCCTAAGGTTAGTTTTTTTTTAAAAATAATATGTCCCGATATGGTACTTCGATATATTGTGACCCTCTTCGGGGGTTCACTCTATACAATGAGTTGGTGTTACAATGATTCGCTGGGCGCCAGCCACGTCTTGTGGCGATCAAGATCAAAAAAGGAAAAAGGGGGGTGATTGTGGGTGTCTTACAGGGGATGGGTCTCGGGGCACTTACGTTCGTACAATACTTCGCGGGGGAGTACGCAAGGAGGATTATTGTGGGAAGGGAAATCTCTAGGGTCGGAAGAGGGGTTCGCAGGAAAGTTCGTCTACGTTACGCGAATGAGGAAATAGCTGTGGTTGGGAAATCGAAAGGGGGACTCGTCTCTACGTCAGACAATGCGCGGGCGGAGAAAATAGCCGTTGCCTCGATCTCGCAATTACAATAGATACGGTAAGGGACTCACCCCAAATCTCCTCGCACTTTCTCTCACAATACTCTCCGCTTTATATCGCTTTTGAAATCTCTGTACTCTCGCTCAATACACACTCGGTCGCTTAGCCTCGGGCTCAATGACGGTTCGCCGTCGCTGCTGCGACGACGAAACCGTCGCGGGATGGTTTGGGGAGGGGATGGGACTAGGAAGGGGGCCTCTTCCGGCAACGGGATAGATCGATTATCGATCTTCGATACACCGGTGCTCGGGGTCGATGGGGCTGGCGGATATCCCGCGATGACGGGTGGGTTGAGGTCTTCAGGCTCGGCGACAGATGGCTCCGGGTGGACGTTTGCATAGTCCGGGCAACTTTGGCTCTTTCCTCGGAGTCCCACGTTGCTCCGTTTCCTCGGAGGACGGTTAGGAGTCTGTCGCCGGCCTCGTAGCTCCTGCTGTGGGTGTCCCTTGTTCGTCTTCTTTTGCCTCCATCGGCCCGACACCGGTGAACAGGGGGAAAGGGTTAGGTGAGGGAAGGGTTACGGGTGGGTTTGAGGTGGAAGTGTACGTGGGGGAAAGCGCAGCGATTGTAACGGGGGGGCACGGGTGTTACCACGTTACAATATATAAGTGGTATCAAATGTTTTTCCGAAGTGCGAATGTCTAGGAATAAGAACTATATAAATGTGATAGGAACGCAGTATATTTGTTTTTGAATAACATGAATTGTAATACTATGAACGAAATAAAAAGAAACTGATAAATTATAAAATAAAATTGTTGATAATTAATAAATTGCAATTAATTGATAATGCATTTACTTTATTCAATAAAAAAAGTAAAAGATACCATAAACATTTGTCATCTATCCAGTATATGTACATTTATATACAATCTTAGTCATGATCTGATTGTGAAAAATGAATGTATATATACATAATTCACACTTTTCCTTTTTGGGGGGATATAGGAAAGGGGCGAGTATTAAAATAACTGTAAACAAAATATATAATAAAAAATAAAATATTTTATTTGACTGACGGCAGTACACAGGATAAGGAATATGAGAATTGTACTCTGAATTTCTACAAATCGAATGCCTACGGTTAGTTTTTTTTTAAAAATAATGTCCCGATATTGTACTCCGAATTCCTACAAATCGAATGCCGGTTAGTTTATCCGTCTAAAGAAAATCGTGAATGTACCCATGTACTTTGTCAGTACAGAGGATAAGGAATAGGGGAATAAATGACTACACCATAAGTAGCGGAAAATATTATATAATGATAAAAAAGTTAAAAATATGTACAAAAAATAAAAAACATGAAATAAAATAATAACAATAATAATAATAAGAAGAAGATATATGGATATAAATAAAAATAATAATAATAATATGAATAATAAAACAAAAAATAGAAAACAGTCATGGAGACTGTCGACAGAAGTGAAAACTTAAAACTATGAAATAACAGTGGCTTTTTTTAAATTTTCAAATCAATTGTAGTATCAAAAATTAAAATTTCATATTTTAATAATTTCGTAAAATTAAAGAAAATATTTTCGGAAATGAAAATTGTAGTGGTAATTATTTAAAAATCATCGAAATCGGAGTTACCGTCCGTAATCTAAATATGTTGTAGAAATCAACGTTTTGAACAACTTTTTCCTATACATTGTGACCCGTTCACGTGGGTGCACTCTATACTTTGAGTTTTTTGTTACAACGATTCGTTGGGAGCCAGCCACTCGCAGTGGTGATCGAAATCGAAAAGGAAAAAGGGGGTAGCGCAGGTTCTTACAGGGGATGGGTCTCGGGCTGGGAGAGATCTCAGGGTAGGTAAGGGTTCCAGGAAGTTCGTTACGTTACGCGTAGAGTCGCGGACAAAATCTCAAAATGGGGCTTCGCAAAATAACTGACAGGGAAGGGGTACGTTGCCGAACTCAAACAATATCAAAATACACTTAATGTAAAAAGGGGCTCACCCAAAACACCTCACACTCTCACACTTCACTCTCCACGCCTCGGTACAAAATCGCTTCTAAATCGCTTTCTAAAATCTCTATCTTCACTCTATGCACGCTTAGCCTAAGGCTCAATGACGGTAAATTTTTGGGGAGGGAATGGGTCGATTATCGATCTTCGGTATACCGGTGCTCGGGGTCGATGGAGCTGGCGGATATCCCGCGATGACGGGTGGGCTGAGGTCTTCGGGCTCGGCGACAGATGGCTCCGTGTGGACGTTTTGACATCAGGTGGGCAGCTTCGTCTATTTCTTCGAAGTCCCATGTTGCTCCGTTTCCTTGGAGAAGGGGTTAGGGGTCTGTCGTCGGCCTCGTAGCTCCTTCTGCGGGTATTCCTTGTAGGTCTTCCGTCGTCTCCATCGGCCCGACACCGGTGAGCAGGGAGAAAGGGTTAGGTGAGGGAAGGGTTACGGGTGGTTTTGAGGTGGTAGTGTAAGGTGGGAAAAGCGCAGCGATTGTAACGAGGGGGCACGGGTGTCACCACGTTACAACATATTACCGCCGCTCGACCTTAGTTTTTGAGATATTTTCGAAAAACTGTCCAAACTAATGCATTGAATTCTGCCTGTTCGTGTGCGTCCGTGTTACATCTTACGCATTAGTGTGCGATCGTCGCTTTTCTACTGTTTCTGCAGGCAAATATTACCGGTTAAATATTAAAAAACTAAAACCTAAAAACTAAAAACTAAAATATCAAATTTTTAAACACAAATATTGATACATTCCACGTAGTCAATTTAACTTTACTTGTATAGATATACACAGCAGTAATGTTGCACAACACGTTACCCTTATAGCGCGTGCGACAGTCTGGTACCAGAGCAGTAGATCGTCATTTCGAGCATGTCGGTGACGTGAACCCATAAGATTTTCCCCTTCCGAAAATCACTCAACGCGCCTAAAGAAGTTTTCACTTCAATAATAATAAAAATAATAATAATAAGAAAAATAAAATTAGAAATAAAATGCTATGTTGCGGCCATTACAGTCGCGACCACGACCGTCTCCATTGCCGTTCCCGCAACCGCGGCCGCGGTCGCGGCTGGACCATGGCGCTGTTTCACGCCGCAGCCGATTCATTTTTCGCCTGTACTGGCGAATTAGCTGCTGTTTTGCCCTGTATGACTGGAAAAATAAATATTATGTTATTATTCATAAACAATGAATACCAGAAAAATCGTACGAACAGTAAAGTAAAAAAACTACTTACGTTTTGCACCTCAGGCTCGTACAGCTCATTCAGCTGCGACACGTGCGGTTGATACGGGTGCGGAAAGAATAAATATTATATTATTATATATAAACAAAAAATAGCAGAAATAATGTATAAACAGGAACGCAAAAAAAGGACTTACTGTATATCCTGCCGGTTGTACGTGCGGCTGTTGCTGTGGTACTGGGTGCGGCTGCAAAAATAAATATTATGTTACTATGTGTAAACAAAGATCAGCAGAAATAACGTATAAACAGGAACGTACAAAAACGATTTACAATATACTGAGCATGTTCCTCCTGCCGCTGTTCTATTTTTTGCAGCAATTCCTGCATCTGCAGCATTTGCTGCTGCTGCATTTGCAGTATCTGCAACAGCGGTTGCGGCATATCTTGCGGTTGCAACCGCAGCTGCAACAGCGGCTCCGGTTGCGGTTGTACATCACCGCTTTTATCTTGTGGACACGCGTCTAGAAAAGGCAATTTTTTAACTTTTTTATTTGAGCCTGTGATGAAAATGTAAAATATGACATGTGTAAAAAATATGTGTATGCTGAAAATTTCATTGAGATCGGTCAATGCACTGAGAAGTTACAATTTCTGAAAATCGTGGCTTTTCATCTAAGAACGTGACTAGTTATGTTCTTAGATTGCGATTCTCGGAAATTTTAATTGTAACTTCTAAATGCATTGACCGGTCTCGATGAAATATTAAAACCATGCACATAACTCATTTGAATCTACGAAAGACATATTTTAAATTTTCATTATAGGCTCACATAAATCCACTGTATATGAGACAAAGCAAAATATATTTTTGTTACAAATGGTCACGTAATGTAATTGTCAATGACACTCGCGAAGTAAAGTTAAAAAGAAACACTTACTGTCGTTTTCGGAAGCCATATTTGGAGTGATGTTTTCCCACTCGTTGCACTAATTGAATTGTCGATGCCAGTGAAATTTGAAAATGCGACAGCATTGGCGTGGTGGGGGGAAAGGACCGCGTTGCCATCTACAGGATTGCCTCGAAATAAGCAACTCGCTCGGGACTCGTAGAAACGGACCTCTCACTCATTTCTCGGACCTCTCACTTTGCGAGCGACTTCAAGCAAAGAAGAGGGGATACCGTGTTGCGTATTTTGAAGCAAAGACCACTTGGTTATTTCGAGGCAATTCTGCACTACTTCTTTCTTAGACGTAGAAGATCTTGAAAAACTAAATTTCCATCGATATTTTCAATCATTTGTGCAACAAATAAGCACAAATGGCAAATAAAAAATGTACAAGTTGGAGGTTTCCGGGTAGGAGATAGCTCTCCCTCAAAAGAGTTTATAGAAAACTGTAAGTGCTTACAAAATACATTTCAGTAATTTATCTGCAAATATTTACAAATATTTATGACCTTGTAACGACCCAGTGATAGGTACGTCGCTGCATTGACGTATAGGGAGAGCGGTTCCCCAAGAAGGCGACTCGTATGAACGAAAATAGGGATTATAGGTTCGTGTGGTATGCGGTTAAGGAGTGAAATCCAACATTAATGTATCAAACTAAAATTATCTTTTATTCAAGTAAGTAAATTAACAATAATTGCTCTAAGTATAATATTAAGTATAACAATAGGTACGGCTAGAATATGAAATACAATAAGAAATTATAATAGGTACGCCCTAGATAGTGAAATACAGTGGAAAATATATGATTAGTAGTTAGTAAGTAATAAGTAATAATAACGCGACTTGATCTTCGAATACAGCCAACACTCTGTACAATTTGCCAAGTTACACTAAGTACTGGAAAACTATATTCTAGTAGCTTGTATGATACCTTCAGACACGAGCGGACTATACCTACAGGTCGCAATCGGTTTCTGGTCTAGCCAGAGCTATGCTAATACAGGCCTGCTCAAGGAGCTCCGCTCCTCGCTAGCTCTTTACACTTGAACGTGTGACTTAGTATTAGCACGTGTTCAACGCGTTGCGTACCATGAGTAGAGTGTCCACAGATCCGAACTCTCGTACGTCACCACTGAAAGAGAAGGATAGAGCTAATCTCGCGCTCTACAAGTTGCCTAAGCAATTCAGCGCAAGCTTTTCCTCTACTTCCAGAGTATTGTCTGCATCTGACCGAAGTCAGGGAAGATCTGGACTGACTCTGCGTGGAACGCCTCTATTTATAGTCAGATTCTGCTGACTTAGCGCTTTTTTTCATTATAGGGTTCCTCTAATTTTCTGGAATTCCCCATCACATGACGGCCGAGCACCCCTGCTCCTTAGTCTACGCGATCACCCTACTCTAGAATCTCACCCCACCGCGAGATCATCGGGGTTGCGCTGGCGCGTATGCATTCGTTTGTCGATCATTTATCGATAATCAACTTACCGACCGACTTACCAACTAATCGCTTATCGACTTATTCAATCAGACTATATTATCGATTAATGAAAATTATTTATTATAAGAAATATAATACAAATTAAACTAAATACTTTTTTTATAAACTCAATTAAACATAAAAAATTAAATTAACCATTTTATACAAAATTTAAACTAAAAATAAATTATAATAATAAAAATGAAATAAAAAGGGTGCTGGGTCTTCTTGGCGGGTCGTTACAACTTCATTCGTTCTACTTTGCAGGCGACAGAAACAATGGCAATCGTCGACATCGACGAGTGAACTTGCTGCAGTTTTCAAAGAGAAAAATTCTCTCCCCGGAAAAGCTTGTATACCCAAATATTATAATAAAGATCCTTCATTTATCCCAAAGGATCCTAAAGATGTGGGGCGCATCTCATCAGAAAACGCCCTTCGCGAAAATAACGATGTGGGACGCATCTTATCAGAAAACGCCCTTCGCGAAAATAACGATGTGGGACCCATCTTATCAGAAAACGCCCTTCGCAAAAACGATGAAACTGTTGTTGTACAATGCGAATGTACAAGTGAGAGACCCACTGTACAAAACGTCCTGGACAATAACGACGACAATCTCGTCGTAGACGTCGGACACGTAGATGTGGGACGTATTTCGGAAAATGTGCCAGAAGGCCGCCGCATTGTTGACGTTCAGTTCTTTTGGAATGAAATACATAGAACGTTCGACAATCATGCGCAAGGTATTAAATGTCATTTTCGCGATTGGAAAATGATCGGTAGTCGCCAGCATGGATGTCTGACACAGTTTTTCTTCAAGTGCCAAATGTGCAATTACGAAGATACTGTTTGGTCGGAACTTATGCATTCAGATATAATGAATGTAAATGAGGCCATGACGACCGCGACTGTTACAGTCGGAATCGGCTATGCACAATTAGAAGAATTATGCGCCGCCCTGAAGATGCCCTACATGGCTGAAACGACGTACCGCAGGTACCGTGAAAAACTTGTAGATGAGTTTATGAAAAGCGCAATGCATACCATGCAGGCAGCAGGTGAAGAAGAAAGACGATTAGCTTCTGAAAACAATGAAGTCGTCGACGGTATCCCGTACATAACTGTCATAGCGGATGGTAGCTGGATGAAGAGATCGTATGGTACGAATTATAATTCACTTTCCGGTGTTGGTACCATTATAGGTTTCCGCACAGGAAAAGTTCTGTTTATCGGCATACGAAATAAATACTGCACAATATGTGATATAGCGGAACGAAAAGCTACATCCCCAAAACATCATAAATGTTATAAAAACTATGATCGTTATGCCAGTTCTAGTAGCATGGAAAGTGACGCTATTGCTGAAGGTTTCAATTGTAGCATTGAAATGCATGGCTTGATATATAGAACGGTTGTTGCCGATGGTGATAGCAACGTCTATCATACTATTGTGAATAACAAACCTTACCGAGAACAAAAAGTAACCGTTAGAAAAGTAGAGTGTACCAATCACTTACTTCGTAATTTATGTAAAAAGTTGAGACACGTTGCGAAGAAAACGCAAACGAAGGGTCACAGAGCTCGTGGCTATGTTGCGCACCGAAATATCATTAAAAAAAATATTTTAAATATTCGTAGAGCTGTTGTTTTAGCAGTCAAGGCGCAAAAACAAGAAAAAGGGCCTCAGCATATCAAAGCTAGAGAACTTCAGAAGGACATTTTAAGTATTCCTAGCCATATATTTGGTGAGCACAAAGAGTGCAATAGCCGCAGCCATACGTGTATGCGGGACGAAAACAGAGCTGAGAAAAATTACGTTCCATCTTTGAAATTGTTCGGTCTGTATAACGAAGTCGAGAAAGCCATACGATTCCTCAGCTGCTATTCGGATAGTTTGTTAATGAATGTTACAAACAATCCCGCAGAAACATTTAATTCAATTATCTGCAAAGAGATTAGTGGAAAACGTATTAATTTTGGTGCAAGAGGTTCCTACAATGCTAGAGTTGCAGGAGCTGTTACGCAATACAATACGCAACAAGTACTTACAGAAATACATAACAACATGTGTAAAACCGTTCCGCCACTAGTAAAGAGATTGGAGGAACGGCGGCAGAAAAAAGTTGCGAAAACCAAACAATTTCGAATAACCTATGGCAAGGCAAGGAAATTGAAGCCAGTGCAAGGAACGAATAAATATTATGGTCCAAACTCGCAAAGACCAGATCTTCCGAGTGATATGCTGCTTCAACTTCGCAAGGAACATTTTGAAAAGCTTGGTGACAATACAAAAAATCGTACAATAACAGAAACGAACACAAGAGAACAAAACGATTCAGATTTATGGAGAACTTTGAAGGAGGAACTGCTAACTGCTTCGAATTTTGGAGCAGTGTGTCGCATGAGACAAACAACATCCTGCGCAGCAATGGTAAAAAACATTTTATATCCTCCATCTGTCGATACCGCTACTATGAAATACGGCCGCGATAAAGAACACATTGCAAGAAAAGACGTAGCGAACGCAATGAAAACAAGAATTCGAACTTGTGGATTGTTCATTGATCGCGACATTCCATACTTGGGTGCATCTCCTGATGGATTTATCGAAGATGACGGTTTACTGGAACTGAAATGCCCACAATCTGCTGAGAATTTGACAGCGATAGACGCAATAGAAACAATACGTCACTTACGAAACATCTTCGATAAGAGAGATATACAAGAAATGAATAGCAAGCACCAGTATTTCTACCGAGTACAAGGTCAGTTGCATGTAACGCAACGGAAGTACTGCATTTTCGCTATCTGGACACCTAAAAGCATACATATGATCCACGTAAATAGGGCCGACGCGTTTTGGACAAATCATATGGAACCTTTCCTAACGCGTTTCTACGAAGAATGCATGCTTCCTGAAATACTGGACAGTCGCCACAATAGACACATGCCGATTAGAAATCCAAAATACATATTACGGGCAAAAGAAGACGCATCTATTCAAAAATCTAACCGGAAAATCGCAAAAAAGCATAAATATGAAAACATGACACAGAACAGTGTTGAAGCATCAAATATGACCGTCGAAGCAGTAAATAGCGACTGTGTCATTGTCAGTCATTCAGTCCAGGAAGAAAACTACACAGATAAAGCTGTACGATACTATATATTAGAGACTGCTGTTTGTTCCATAACTGACGTAAAGAAAAATGTATTACCTGTGAAAAGTAAATTAACCGATGAATCGTTAGATCGATTTTTACGTGTCGTCAGAGAAACTACTCCTTTTGAAACGCAAACTGACATTACTTACAGTTTACAAAATGTATCCGTCCCTGCCGTAGTGACAAAAGCGTACAAATAATTGGAGGCAACTGTTCTGATCACTGGCGAATTATCTATTTCAACGGCCGCAAACTCCATGTATACGATAGTTTACCTGGCAGTGCATATGAGAAGCTCGTAGAGGAAGAAAAGAAATATATTGCGTTACGATTTCCTCATATTCGCAAAAAGGATATACTTTTTGAAAGAGTTCAGGCGCAACCGGATTGTTACCGTTGTGGTGTATACGCGGCGGCATACATCACTACTATAGTTTTGGGTGGTATTTAGAGGGGAGCGAGGAAAACCGGGGAGAGTCCGTACACACAAAAAAAACGATCGAGATTGTCCACAAAAAGGGGTTGTCAGTTTATTAAAATTCAAGATGCACAGAATTTTGAGGACGGCCGTTACACCTTGCGGTGCGATCCGCTCGGTCGAGGAGTACAAATCAGGTGGGTTCGACACGTCACTCGAGGAGTACAGAAAACGTTCGCAAAGTTTACGGAGGAGTCACTTAGCACACGAGGAGTCCGATTCAATTCGAAAAACGTCCGTTTGGTTGCACGAGGCGACCGTTCCACGCTGCGAGCACGTGGCGAGGTTACGGGATATGAGAATCCCGAGGTTTATCTTAATCCGCGAGAAAACCGATTAGACGAGGTCACCCACTGATCTCGGAGGCGCGAGGTAACTACCGGTATTCCTTTTGCTCAACGAAATTACCGGGAAAGCTCAGAAATTCACAAACTCGATGGAGCGCG